CTAGCACACACACACAAAAAGTAACTGAAAGCCGAGTGCTGGTGGCTCACACCTGTAATCCTACTCAGGTGGCTGAGATCTGAGGATCACGGTTCAAAGCCAGCCTAAGCATTAAAGTCCATGAGACTCTTATTTCCAATAAACTACTAGAAAAACAGAAATGGTGCTGTGGCTCAAGCAGTAGAGGGCTCCCCTTGAGCTGAAGAGCACAGGGACAGCGCCCAAGCCCAGAGCTCAAGCCCCATGACCGACAAAAAAAAAGAAAAAAGTAACTGAAGACTCTGTCCAGGGATGGATACTAGGGGGAGAAGGTCAGGAATGAAAATAAAAAATAGTTCAAATACAGTATTTGCAACTATGAAAATAGAACAATGAGACTTGGTGAAATTATTTTGGGAAAAAGGGAAAGGGGAAAGGGAAAGTGATAGAGGGGATGAGACTGATTGGATTGTAAGCATACAGAAATGTAACAGTGAAATCCCTCCTGAGCTGATGGTAATAATAATAACAGTAACAGTAATAATAATAAGTGGAATTGGGATGAGACTGATTGGATTGTAAGCATACAGAAATGTAACAGTGAAATCCCTCCTGAGCTAATGGTAATAATAATAACAGTAACAGTAATAACAATAAGTGGAATTGGATTTCCAGAGTCCTCTCTTGAGGCTACACAGGAGAGGTCTTCTCCTGAGGCAGTTCCAGGTAGGGCTTCCATGGAAACCCAGGTGAACAAGGAGATGGTACTGGGGGTGTGCTCACTTAGGGAACAGAGCTGCCTCTGTCACCACAGACCAACCTCACAAATTTTGGCAAAAGGCCTTCTGGTGGGGTGAGAATGTACTACCTGCTACAAGGACACGGACAGCATTGTTCATTTATCACTTTCTGGCTTGGGTCTGAACCCTGATTCTTCCTCCTACAATTCCTTAGTTTCAAAGCCTCTCTGCACCTCGCTGCCCTCCTCTGTAAAATAATAATGGTACCAAGCTCACAGGGGTATGGTGAACATGAAGAGCAAATTAGTCATGTCTGGAACAGAAGGCAGAGTGAACAGGTAAAGCATGTGACTCTTTTCGTCCTGTGTTTTGTGGCATGTGGGTTCTCAGGCAGGGCTTAGGGAGCAAGCAAACTTTGATGACTTGGTATAAGGAGGAATATGAAGTAATTCATTACTAATTGACTGCATATACTTTGAATCTGTTATTAGATGCATAGGAGTTTAGAAGTTTATATCTTCCTGGGAAATTGAAACTTGGACCACCTGTTTCTTTTTAATTTTTAAAATGGAGCTACTAGAAATTGAGAATTATGGGTTTGGCTCAGGTTATATTTCCATTGGACAGCACTGATCTAGAGAAAGAATAAACAAGAAGCTCAAACCAGCCACTAAGCCCTGAGTGACTAATAATGGGACTGTAGAGAATGACGAGAAGAACATATGAAGGCCACATTCTGTCCTTCTAACATTTATCTGCTGGAGTGTAACTAAGAAAAGAGAACAAGATGTTCATGAAAAACTGAAATGGGTGAATAACAAGGCTAGAGAGAATGAAATGGCAAAGGAAAAGCAGCCAGAGAGAAGAAACTCTACATGTCTAATAGAAAAACTGCCACTGCTCAGATCTCAATATATACAAGTCTACAACTATGAAAATGAGTCTTAAAAAACAGCCTTCACATTCAAAAGACACATTACATCATCAAGGTAGTTTTTTTTTTTAATTTTTGTTACAACTTCATCAAACCTACCAAATCTTATCACATGAGACTTTTATAATTCCAGGTGTTAAAAACAAAAGACCTCATGGCTTTGGGAGACAGAACCATTAAAAAAACTTAGTCCTAGATATTTTTCCATCTCATAACTGAAAAATAAAAACATATTGTATGGCTCAAAAGCCTAAATAAGCAATAGCTTTTCCTCTATGTCAATAGCGATTCTTAAGTAGAAATCCAGATCTGGAGAAGGAGGGAGGGAAAGAGGGAATGAGACAGGGGTAGGGGGAGAAAGGGAGTGAGAGAGAAGAAAAGAGAGAGAGAAAAACAGAGAGAGAAAGAGAGATTTGCATCAAGGCCCAGGGGTGCTAAGATGCAAGTGAAAGAGTTTGACCAGAGCAACTCTTCCTTAAGATCAGAAGACCTTAGAGTTCATAACCATGAACACTAAGCTCAGCCTGCCCTGTTACCTGACCCAAGAGGAGACTAGAGTCTTGAAGGCTGAGTCCTCTCAAGGCTATATGGAGTTCAAACAGAAGGAAACTGATCCTATCTATCCTAACTGATAAAACACCACCTGCCTCCATTTCCTTGACATTGTTGCTTTTATCATCTAGTAGTGAGAAACCACTGATGTAGTTATTTTGAAACCTGGAATAAAAGAACTTTTGACTATCACTCCCCAAACTGAGCAAAACACACACTCATAACCTTGTGATCCTATTGTTCAGTATAGAGCCAAAAGATACATGTATGTGTACATATGTTTCCAAAGCCAGGCACTAGAGCGGTCACAGCAGCATGATTTGTAATAACAGCCAGATGCTGGAAGCTGCCCAAATGTCTGATGATAGTACATGGATAAATATGTGGTATATTCACCCGGTGGCTACTATTGGCAAAGACAATGCTGCCACAATGGGTGCACCACAAGAGCATTTTGAACAGTGCTTATAGAAAGAAGGCTAACACTGTAGGATTCTATTTTTATAAAAGCATGAGAGGAAGTCAAGATGGGGTTGGTGCTGGGGAAGTCCGTGACAGGAAGCAGCAACATCCTGGGGTACGGGGATATTCTGTTTCTTGATCTGAGTGCAAAGCACATGAGTACATTCAGTATGTCATTAGGTATGTCAACTTTTTCTAGCACTTATATACTATACTTAAAAAAAGAGAGAAAAAAAAAGAAGCTTCATCTGGTATCTGAGTAAGATAAGTCCTCAAGACGCTTTTTGAGCTCTTTTATTCTACAGGTCTTTACAAACTTCACTTGCTCCATGGAGGTCCATGTAATCTAGGTCTTTCTCCAGGGAAAGCCCACATATCACCATCAGTATTTATGGCTGCCTCCCACACAAGGCCTGTGATTCACACCCCACTAGTGGATGCCTTTGCTAATTTATGCCACCCACACCAATCTAGCTTTTGTTTTCCTTCCTCAGCAGTTAGAGAGTTTGTATCATCATTAATGTGGATATATTGCCATTTTTTTAAATTTCTGCCAAAGCTTCCCAGCTAGACTAACAACAGGAGCATGCCCTCTGGGGGGATGATCTCTATCCTCTAGTATCCACAGGCACCAAGGATTAAATCACTTCTCAGGAGCCGTTCACTTCCTAAATCACAGCTGCTAACCACTCCTTACCGCTACAAAAGACCAGTTGGGGAAGTAGAAAAAAGAACTGGAAGAGGCAAACCAAAGAATAAGTCGTTTCTTCTTGCTCTGTCTTAACTACAATACAGCCTTACTATCCACCACTCAATCTATTTTGTTTACATGGGACATTTTGTAACATGTACCAAAATTATAAAGATTTTCAAGTCATAAATATGAGCTTTTTATTATGTAACACGTATCCAAAGTCCATTCTCTCTCTTCTATAATCTGCTTCAAACCTACTCATCTCATTCCACACCAACCGTAAGACTCCTCAAGCTTCATTTCGCCTTAGACAAATAGCATCGTGTAACATTGCAAAACAGAACAAAGACAAAATCTCACCTAATTCTAATGTTTAGAATACCAATATATTACTCTTCTTTGTTTAAACAACGAATAGAAGGCAGATGATTCCCAGCTCTGCAACTTGGAAGAAGACAACCCTCGGAGGCGTCAAGCCTTGGGATTGATTACTCAGTAAAACCACAACCTGTTCTGACTCAGTCGGTGCCCCTCCATTCCACAGGGAAAGATCCTTCTTGGTTTCCGGATGTATAACCTTCAGCAGGTAAAGGATTAGCAATCCGAAGGCAAGAGAAAGGTTTAGCCAAACACCACGAGATACACGTTTCTCTCTGTGAGTCCAAAATCCAACAGTCCTCAGCCCACACCCATGGGTGCCAGGTGAATTGCAGCACCTAACAGTTTTTCTTTTAAATAAATGGCATCTAAATTCGTAGAGTTCATACACATGAATGAAGACGGAAGGATATAAAAAATTCATCTTCCAAGTCAGCTAGCCATTCTGCAGAACTCTGCTCATAAATGCATTTTTAATGGTCACAACTAGGAACCCGGGAGGCCTGGAAAGGCTCTCAGGTTAGCCAGCCACTGGGAGATGGGTGTCTGCCTCGGTCACCCCACTGGTGTGGGGTACCAGTGGGAACCCGCCTTTTTCCTAGGGGCCAGGCTTCGAGGAGACGCTCTCACAAAAACAACGCACACCGGACACACTGCCCGCGGTCAAGCCGCAGCTCACGATCCCCAAGGAACCAAGGACTTGGGACACGTGTGTCCTGCGCAGGGCTGGCCGCAGAGCGAGGGCGGGGAAGGTCACCCGCCGAACCTCCACCAGCCGGCCCCACACACGCCGCCTTCCCCCAGGGCGCACGCAGCGCCTGCGGAAGCTGCTGGCAACCCCCGCCCGGGGAGTCCCAAGCGCCCCCCCCGCCCCGCCCCCGCCGTGGGTACGCGCGTTCACTCGACCCCGTTGGCTCGGAAGCTTCCAGCAATGAATTAAACCCCAAGCCGCTGCGCAAAGCAGCGTGGAAACGGGCCACTGCGGCGGGACCTGCCATTACCGCCGTCCCCGCCGGGCGTCCTCACCTGTGCGCGCTGCGGCTCCCGGCGCACGCTCCACGCGGCGGGGTGCCTCGACCCTCGGCCCCCCGCTCCCCAGGCAGGCGCGACCGGAGGCACAGCATCCCGGGGCGCTGTCCGCGGGACGCCGGGGCGGAACCGCGCAGCCCAGGGCACAGGAGATAAAGACAGCTCGCCGCCGCCGCCCCCCACCCCAGCCCACGGGCCCCCAAAACGCCGAGGAGGGGGCTGCACCACGCACCTCGGCCGGCAGGTGCCGCCGCCGCCGCCGCCTGGGTGCGCGGCTGCAGGGGACGCCGCTCCGCGCCGCCCGCCGTCTTCGTGCGCATGCTAGGGAGGGGGCGCTGGCCGGCCGCCTGCCCCGGGCCCCGCGCCCCCGCCCGCCCCCGGAGCCCAGCTCGCGCCCATTCAGCCCCCGGCCTCCTGCTCCCAGGCGCGGATGCGGAGGAGGGGGAATGGGCGGGGCTGAGCGTCACGAGGCCGCTGCCAGCCAATCGGCACGCGCGAGGGAGCGCGAGTCCGCCGTCCAAGGATGCGGAGTGGCAGGGCGCCCGCGCGGGGACGCGCATCCCGCGGGAGCCGGGCGAGGTCGTCCGCCGCGCCCTCCGCGGGGTTACATGGTGGAAAGTGCACACCGGATCGTGGGGTGCGTTCAGAAGGCTTCGGGGCTTTCCGCGACGCGTAGAATTAACTGCGGAGCCCCACGTGCCTTAGGCGCCCGCTGCGCCCTTGTTCTCTGACAGATGACTGGTCCCAAATACCTCAGGCCTTCCAGGAAAGCGCGAGGACGGGCTGAACGCGTGGGGACACGCAGAGCCGATCGCGGCTGCACGTGTTGAAGATGAGAGAGCATAATGACCCCAGCTGACCACCCACCTTTGCAACAGGGGGGACTGAGGCCCAGAGACTCGAAGTGAGTTGCATTAAGTCTTTGGGAACACTTAGTAGGGGCCCTGCTAGGGGACACGTCAGAGCTCAGGGTGCTCACTTCCATACCTCCTTCCTCTTTATTCTGGGGAGGAAAAATCATAGGTTTTTAAAGCTCAGATTAGTAAATACCAAAATCTGGAATAAACAAGTTTAGCCGGGAGCTGCTGGCCCACCCCTGTAATCCTAGCTATTCTGGAGGCTGAGATCTGAGGATCACGGTTCCAAGCCAGCCCGGGCAGGAAAGTCCCTGAGACTCTTATCTCCGATTTCCCACCAAAAGGTGGAAGTGGACCTGTGGATCAAGTGATAGAGCACTAGTCTTGAGCGCGAAAGCCCAGGCACAGCACCCAGGCCCAGAGTTCAAGCCTCAGGACTGGCACAAAAACAAACCAACAAAACAAAAAAAGAGCTGAGCACTGATGGCTCATACCTATACGCCTACCTACTCATAAGGCTACAATCTGAGGATTGTCGCCAGCTACAGCAGGAAAGTGCATGAGACAATTATTAACCTCAAGTTAACCACCAGAAAACCAGAGCTGGTGCTGTGGCTTAAAGTGGACGGGCACTAGCCTTGAGCTCAGGGTCAGCATCTAGGCCCTGGGTTCAAGCCCCATAAATGAAAAAAAAAAAAAAATTAAAGCACTGATCAAGTTATTTTTTTTAAAACAAAGCCTCTGTATGAATTATACACCTGCAATGTTCCTGTGTCTTAGGACTTGTTGATTCTAAGAGTCAAGCCCATGAAGTTGGCTAAATCTTCCTTTCAGGGAGACAGAGTCTGAAGGCTATGTGTGTATGAGTCTCCTCTCAATTTGAAAAGGAATGTCCTAAATTCTGAGCCACATCAATTTGCATAAACCTAGAGCATTGTCACTGGTTTTGTTGTTGTTGTTGGAATTTTCCCCCTCTTTGGCTACAGCTTGCACAGCTGTTTTGAAGATGTCTTTGTTCTTCCCTTGGTGCTGGTTCAACAGTGCTGGAGAAAATATATCTAGATCATCAAAGCCAAAATAAAAACCACTCCGAGGAAAGGCTGAGAGGACTCTTCTTTAACTCCTCCCAAGGCAGTTTTTCCACTAAAAAATGTTTCTAGGTTATTCTAAAGCAAGAGTGCTGAGCGCATTTGGATGGAAAATGGAGGAAAAGCTGCCTGGTGTAATCTAAAACTAGTGGGTTTTTCAAGGCTAGACAGCCTGAGCAGCTGCCCGGGGCAATGACAGCTGCACAGAGAATGTGATTACCTTGCCCTCTTTCTGTTGGAGAACATCCTGGAGCCTGCCTGTTTGGGGCGGATGCTCTTCACTTTTCTTTCTTTCCACTGTTCCTAGATGCTTTTTCTCTTCTCTCACAGAAACCTGTCTGTAAAGCCAGGTCCCATTAGCATTATGGCCGTGGTGGAATCTTAAGTAACCTGGCTTGGAAGGGTTTATGTATAAGGTGAGAAAGAAGAAGAAATGAGCAGTTCACGCTAACTTCCACCCCAGCACCACAGAACATCAGTTAAGTACCCACTGCCTCAGTCACTCCAGCCACATTTGGGTGGAGGGGAAGAGTGTGCAGGAAGATGAGCCCTGCCCCCAGAGATCCTCAAACAGCACACTAGGATCAGCCACTAAATCTCAAAGCCTTACTAAGTGTTTCTCCAAGTCAGTGGCTGGCCTCAGAGAAACTTCTAGACACTGACTGGCAAAGATAGAATTACTTGCAAATTGAAGACAACTACAATTCCCTGACTCTTTTTTTCCCTTGTACATACATCACTTTGGTCATTCTGCTAACAGGCATCAGATTGCCACATCTGCCCTGATTCCTATAGTGATGCAACATATCCTTAGTGCAATCTACTCCCACTATTACTTTATTTTCAGGACCAACAACTGGCCTCAGACCGATCAGAAGCTATTACATCAGAACCCACTATTCAATCAGAACCCACCATTCAATGAATTCTGATCAGTCCTGATTGGTCTAGCCCAGTTGGTGGTCCTGAAAATGTGATCTGTGGACCCCTGGGAGTCCCTGAAGACCTTCTAGGGGATCTTTAATGTCAAAAAATATCTTCTTTTTTTTCCTCTAGTACTAGGGTTTGAACTCAGAACTTTGTATTTGCTAGATGGGCAGTCATTTGAGCCACATATGCCCACAGCTAGCTTATAATAATCTAAGACATCATTTACATTTTTTTTCATTCATGATGCAGAAGAAAGGTAAGCAAAACTACTGGTTCACAAATCAAAGCAAATCAAAATTATTAAAATGTCAATCCTTGAGTATGTATCCTTTTAATATTTTATGTGACAGGATGGAAACTATGTGCCAGCACTGGTGGCTCACACATGTAGTCCTAGCTGCTCAGGAGGCTGAAAATATGAAAATCGAGTTTGAAGCCATCCCACGCCAAAGTCTATGATAGTCTTATCTCTAGTTGATCAGCAAAAAGCTGAAACTGGAGCTTTGGCTCAAGTGGTAGAGCACCAGCTTTGAGCAAAAAAAACTAAGGGAGACCAAAGGCTCTGACTTTAAGCCCTTGTCTGGGGTTGGGGGAGAGGTATACATAAAACACTTGTAACTTGGAAGTGATATATGATGGCAGGCGTGCAATTGTTTGATTTGGGAGCTGAATTAGTTGTGATCTTCATGGAATACCATTTTTACTTGAAGAAACTATGGTTCTTTGAATAGTTGAAAGCTATTTACTAGAAATGTACTGAGTGAGCCTGTATCTTTTTTGTTTTGTTTTGGTCCATCTCAAGGCTTGAACTCAGGGCTGGGTTGCTATCCCTAGCCTTTTTGCTCAAAGCTAGCCCTGTACCACTTTGAGACACAGCTCTGCTTCCGGTTTGGGGTTGTTTATTGGAGATAAGAATCTCACAGATTTCTCTGCCTGGGCTGGCTTGAAGTCACGATCCTCAAGATCTCGGCCTCCTGAGTACAGGTGTGAGCCACTACTGCCTGGTTGTTGTTCTTTTGTTTTTTTTGTTTTGTTTTAAAGAAAATAATCAGTTATTTGTGGCCAATGGTGGAAAACTTCCAATTTTCAAGAGAAATTTAGTATTTAGGAAAACTGTATTACCATGAGCTTGATAGATCTCAGTATTCAAGGATTTTTTTTTTCTGATGTGCTCAATAATGGTATCAATGAATATGATTTTTGGATAATGTATAACATGTTGACCTTTGCAAAGCCCATAGAACTCAGTGAATAATTACTTTCCAAATGGTTAATGTACAATGTTATTAAGTCATACTTGGGTAAAGGTCCATTTAAAGGACAAGGCAGACAAAGAAATTCAACATTACGACAAACTCATAGATAGGTTTCTGATTCCTCAGTGCACCAATCTTTAAGAAACTAGTGCTTGTAGAATCTTATAGATCTGTAGTTTGGGAGATATGTTATATCAAAGAATATCCATAGTTATCTAGTGGTACTAGGGTTTGAACTCAGAATCTTCTGTTGGCTAGGAAACAACTCTAAGATGTTTTTCTTTTCTTTTCTTTTTTTTTTGGTCAGTTGTGGGGCTTGAACTCTGGGCCTGGGCGCTGTCCCTCAGCTCTTCAGCTCAAGGCGAGCGCTCTACCACTTGAGCTACAGCGCCACTTCCAGTTTTCTGGTGGTTTATTGGAGATAGGAGTCTCACAGTCTCTCCTGCCCGGGCTGGCTTTGAACCGCAATCCTCAGATCTCAGCCTCCTCAGTAGCTAGGATTACAGGTGTGAGCCACCAACGTCCGGCTAGGTAGATGTTTTTAAAAAGATAAAACTGGGCAGATGCTGGCAGTCCTAACTACTTGGGAGGCTGAGAAATGGAGGATCGTAGTTTGAGGCTATCTGAGTGGAAATTAAGAAGCAAGTGTTAGGGGCTGGGATGGTGACTCAGTGGTAGAGTGGTTGCCTTGAATGCATGAGGCCCTGGGTTCAATTCCTCAGCACCACATATGCAGAAAAAGCCAGAAGTAGCACTGTGGCTCAAGTGGTAGAGCACTAGCCTTGAGCTGAAGAACTGAGGGACAGCACCCAGACCCAGAGTTCAGGCTCCACAACTGACAAGAAAAAGAAACAAGGGCTGGAAATGTAGCTCAGTGGTAGAGTGCTTGCCTAGCAAGGTTTGATTCCTCAGTACAACATCAACAGAAAAAGCCAGAAGTGGCACTGTGGCTCACCTGGTAGCCTTGAACAAAACGAATTCCAGGGACAGTGCCCAGGCCCTGAGTTCAAGCCCCAGGACTGGCACAAAAAAAGAGTCTCCAATTAAGAAACAAAAATCTAGGCTGGAAGCAAGGCTCAAGTGGTAGAATATCATCTTTGAGCCAAAAAGATGAACTAAAGGCCAAGGTGCTCAAGGTTCAAGCTCCCCCCCCCCCCCCCCACGAGCTGATATTAAGAAGAAAGAAATGTTAAGGGAAGCAGACAACCAAGTAGAAAGAATCCATTATCCATTTCCTTTGAATGTTT